TTTTTTTTTTTTTTTTTTTTTTTTTTTTTTTTTTTTTTTTTTTTTTTAAATAGATGCCTGAAGATTAATTCAGTACCTGAGTCAGCTGCAGGGAAAAGGAAAAACTAAACAAAAAAGAAGCGCACAACTATGTATTCTCTCATAAAGCTAAAAGTAAAAGGTGATGGTTTTTTGTACTTCGGAAATGTCTCTAAATAACATCATTATGTATATATCCACACGTAATGAAGAAGCCTGCTCTTCTGATCAATTTTCCCCAGAAGATTTCCATTGTATCTTAGTTCATCCTATAATTCTCATCCATGGAGCATTTTTATGAACTTGAATGAGTTTAGTTGTTATCGTGTTGATTATATCTGACCAGTATTAATCTAAGGTTAACATTGTTTATTCGAAGTAGACGTGAACAATGATGGTTATTTTTTAGATTTATTCAAAGGATGATAGCTAAATTTAGACTCTTAAAAGCTAACATCCAATTATTTCAAACATTTAAGCGTTTAATTCAAAAGTTTGATGCAAAACTGGTAATCAGTATCTACACCATCTTTCAAGGTTGGAGGTTCAAATCTCTAAACCCTCACTTGTTGTAAGAAAGAAACAATGGTCTCTAAACCCTCACTTGTTGTAAGAAAGAAACAATGGCAAGTTTGATTTGTATAACTTTTCACATGAAGCGATTGAATACAAACTACTCAAACTACATACCCGAACTAAAAAATTCAAACCAGAAATTTTAAATACAATTCTAGCATGGCGTTTCAACAAAGTGCAACACAAACTCAGACATTAAAATTATGAGCGATTCAAAATGTACCTCTTATCTCTCGCTCTTTGAGCGTCATCCCAATCCACGGGAATAATATTATTTGAATGTATACATACGATTCAAAAGGCTGCCAACTTCCACAACTTTCTCTAACAGCAGAAGATGAAGAAACTAGCGCTATCGGATCTGATGCTTCCAAATTCTTCACTCAATAGCCTCCCTCTCTAAGTAGACCTTCTTCCTCCTTAGAATCAAATTTCACAGACAAGAAATGTAGATGTGGTTTGAATTGCAGATTGAAAAATCAGCAGGAGGCTAAGAGAATCTTCCAATTTAGAAACTTAAAAGACAAAAACTCAAAAGCAATGAACCTACCGGTAGACAATCAAATCACCGTGTACGATGTTGCTTCGAACCTCAGTCTCGTCAATGGCCACCATGGATCAAAAATCAAAGCATCAAAGTCCCGGTCACCTCATTTTGCAGAACCGGCGCAAGGAGAAGAGAGGGAAAAGCATGGAATGAGTGAGATGTGGTGGGTTGGGGCTGTTGCCACTGGAGAGCGTCGTTTTCGTACGTCTATTTTAACATCCTAACATCACCAAAAACACAAGCTTATGGCTAATTATAATAATAAAAAGAAATAAGTGAATATTAAATCTATTGATTATATTTATAATAATACCCTTTTTTTTTTCCTTTTCTTTTTATGGCATCTCCAAGATAAATATGTTAATAAAACATAAATAAATAAATAAACTTTAAAAAAATGTTTCATAAATTTAAGGCTAAATTATAAATATAATATTTAAATTTTAATATTTTTAAAATTTATGAATTTAATAGAAGAACGTTTCACTAAACATAAAATTTTTATTTATATTTTAAATTTATAAAAAAAATTTATTAATACATTTATTATATATTTTTTAAAAATTTAATAGACACTGATATTGTAATTAAACCCTCGTTGTTAAATTTTAGGTTTAGTATCTAATATTTTATTAACTATTAAACATTTTTTTAAATTCACGAAATTGAAAATTAAAATCCTCAAAGTTAAATATATATATATATATATATATTTGACAAATATGTGAAGGTATTAAATAAAATATTTTCCGTTTAGTTTTCCTCCTCATCATTCAAAAACCACCCTTAATTCTTTTGGTTGTCCAGGTTTCGAATCAGAGCTATGGCTCTGCTTCCAGGATTCCGCCATTTCATCACCCATTTTTGCAGAACCACGCCGCCAATGGCATTTCTCTTTACCCATTTCCATACCCCTATTTCCAGGCCATCCTCTCTCTTCCATATACCCAACCCCTCCAGCCCTGTTCTCCCGAAATCCCTGATAAAGTCCCACGCTTCTGGGAAAAGTCATTCCCCTAATCAATTTCTCTTATTTTCACTTCAACTTTACTGGGTTTGTCCATTTTCTCATTCTTGTTTCCTCTTAGTGCAGAAACTACATTCTTTTTGACTCGGGATGAGCGATTGGAGGATTCGCATGCCGGGATTGAGCGTGAACAAATTGAGAATTCAAGCACAATTGCAGCCATCGTGACATCCATGGGGGGTCCTCCTGCTGCGGTGGGCATTGTGCGTTTATCAGGTCCTCGTGCTGTGAATATCGTTGGGAGTTTATTTTGCCCTGCCGCGAAAAAGAAGGGGAAGAATGTGAGCCAGCAGCATCCATGGAGACCCACCAGCCATGTCGTGGAGTACGGTGTGGTATTGGACCAACAGGGCGATGTAATTGACGAAGTACAGTAATGTTTACTTTGCTATGCTTGGAAAATTTCTCAATTCTGCGTTATGCTGTTATGGGTGTAGGCTTTTGTTAGTTTATGATTAATTTGAGCTGTGGTTGTGCACTTTTGTGAAGGTTTTGACGGTGCCAATGTTAGCCCCAAGATCTTATACTCGTGAAGATGTGATCGAGATTCAGTGTCACGGAAGTGAAGTATGTCTTCGTCGTGTGTTAAAAGCTTGTTTAGAAGCTGGAGCCCGGCTTGCAGAACCAGGTTTGTTTCTGAACTGGAATCACTTAGTCATTAAATTCATTGTAAGATCCCACATCGGTTGGGGAGGAGAACAAAACACCCACCAGAACCGAGTGATCTTCCTGCGAGGAGGTTGAGCCCGAAATGGGGTGGACATGAGGCAATGTGCCAACAAGGACACTAGGCCCCAAAAGGGTAGATTGTGAGATCCCACATCCACATCGGTTGGGAAAGAGAAAGAAACACCCTTCTTAAGGGTCTGGAAACTCTCCCTAGCAGACACGTTTTAAAAACCTTGAAGGGAAGCCCAAAACGGAAATCTCAAAAAGAACAATATTTGCTAGCAGTGGGCTTGGGCGTTACATGGTTTGAAGGGTCTGGTAACTCTCCCTAGCAGACACGTTTTAAAAACCTTGAGGGGAAACTCAAAACGGAAAGCTCAAAGAGAACAATATTTGCTAACGGTGGGCTTGGGTGTTACATGGTCTATATACGTGCCCCTTTTCATTTTTATACATTCACTGAAGTGTTTGCTTGCATCCATGTAATTAAAGCATAGGCTAACGCATGAATTTATACTTTAGGTGAATTTACCCTTCGTGCATTCTTAAATGGTCGCTTAGACCTTTCACAAGCAGAAAATGTTGGGAAATTAATTTCAGCCAAGTCTACGGCTGCTGCTGATGCTGCGTTGGCTGGAATTCAGGTTGGGGTCTTCTTTATTTGACTGATAACGTTGCCTGAATGGCTGCCGACTTGTTTACTGAAGTATATTGTATTTTGGTAGGGTGGCTTCTCTTCCTTAGTCAAATTGCTAAGAACACAATGCATCGAATTACTCACTGAAATCGAGGCCCGACTAGACTTCGATGATGAGATGCCACCGTTGAATTTGGAAACTATAATGGAGAAAGTGCATGCCATGGCACAGGAAGTAGAGACTGCTCTCGAGACAGCCAATTATGACAAGCTTCTTCAATCTGGAATACAGGTAAACTTTTAAGAGTCGTCGAATCAGTTTGTTTCCTGGCACAAGAGATGCGTGCATTTGTTAATACCTTCTGTCATCTCCTTAAAACTTGCAGATAGCAATTGTTGGCCGTCCTAATGTTGGGAAGTCGAGCCTTCTTAATGCATGGAGCAAAGTAAGCTGCATAACGTCCTTGTTTTCCCTTTCAACTTGAACTCCTTTAGATGATTTATTCTATCTGTGAGTCTGATGTGATATCCGATAATCTTCATGTCAGTTCTTTCTTTTTCCTTGTTATTTCCGTTGAGTGGTTGTATTTTCACTTAATCTTGAAATCACCTACTGCTTTATCACATGGGAGAGCTTGCTTGACTTTCCAGATTTGGTGATATGTGACTGAGAAATCTTGGTCCTTGTTACTACTTTCATACCAGTAATGGTTTGTGAGATCCCATATCGGTTGGGGAGGAGAACGAAGCATTCCTTATAAAGGTGTGGAAACTTCTCCCTAGTAGACGCGTTTTAAAATCGTGAGGCTGACAACGATATGTAACGGACCAGAGCGGATGATATCTACTAGTAGTGGGCTTGGGCTATTACATTGCTGGAGAAAGAAATTGTAAACTTCTTAAAAATGCTAAAAGATTACAAACCTCATAATGGAAATTTCTGTTTGATATAGTGGTTTTCTTTTACTCTTAGTCACATTATTCCATTGTCACATTTATTATTTAGTGTGCAGAGCGAGAGGGCAATAGTTACAGAAATTGCTGGAACTACCAGGGATGTAATTGAAGCGAATGTTACCGTTTCTGGTATTCCTGTTACTCTTCTTGATACTGCTGGAATTAGGGAAACAGATGACATTGTGGAAAAGATAGGTATGATTTACTAATTTCAGCATTTCGAGGGTTTAGACAAAACATTTGGTGTTGTGCCATACAGATATATGATTATTTTCCCGAAACGAGTTGATTGCAGGCAGGTCACACAAACCATGTCGGTGTAGGTTGTAACTCGACCTACACCGACCATACATTCCCTTAAATCTTATTGACAACTCGACCATATGTTGAGTTGCCCTTAATTCTTCTCGAGTTGCAACCCGACAATACGTTCTCTACTCCTTGGTCACGGCCCTACTCTGTTCTACAGGTGTCGAGAGATCTGAAGCTGCTGCCCTCGGAGCTGATGTCATTATTATGACTATAAGTGCCCTCGATGGATGGACTGAAGAAGATACCATACTTCTCGATAGCATACTTGCAAAAAAGGTTTGACAGCAAAATCCTACCACCCTCTGCCTTCAATGAGTTCTGCTGATCAAAATTGGTGCTTATGTTTTCTTCTCTTTTAAATTCTTTGAAAGTACAGAAATCAGATGGATCAACCACGCCTATACTTCTTGTCATAAACAAGATAGACTGTGCTCCATCTGCTGCAAACATGGATGCAATTAGTATCAACCGTGACTCTTTCAGTAAACAAGTTTTTACATGCGCTGTCACTGGACAAGGAATAGAGCATCTGGAGATGGCAATATCAGAGCTGATGGGACTCAACAATACTCTTGCAAGTGGACGTAGATGGACGGTAAACCAGGTAACCTTTTCCTACCTTCCCCTCACCAAACAAGATTGAAAGAGTAATGAGCAATATAGAACTTATGGGTTAGTGTTGTTTTGGTCATACAATCAGAGACAATGCGAGCAGCTTCTTAGAACCAAGGAGGCACTTGGAAGATTGAAATCTTCGATTGAAGAGGAGCTGCCTCTTGACTTTTGGACAGTGGATTTGAGAGGTGCTGTATTAGCTCTTGGGGAAATTAGTGGTGAGGATATCTCTGAAGAGGTTTTGTCCAATATTTTTGGCAAGTTCTGTATTGGTAAGTAGAAAGTATCAATGTAATGTACTATTTGGTTATGAAATCCAATTATGTAAATGGATTTCATATTATTTTCCATTTCTAGCCATGGCTTCACTCGAGTCACTTTCAGGATGCCATCCCATTTTGGTCGCTTCCAGCTTCCAACATGTGGAAGTTTTTTCTGACCTGTGAACAGAGTGGTTGCAAATGTCTTTTAAACTCTCATAGGTCCTTGAACTTTTTTATTTTATCTCATAGCGTCTTAATTTATTCAACATATCATTTGACTTACAAATCGAGAGATAGTTTGACAATATAAGCCATCGTCATCTTCAACTGTGATTTTGTATCCAAGTGTCATCTGCATAGTTTGATGAAGGATGTAAAAGGGTGGTTTTCGTTTCGACCGTTGCTTGAGAAGAGTCTTTCAGATCAACTAACAGGCACAACTCTTCAAAGATGCAACACCATTGAAGATTTTATCCTCAACTCAAAATCACAAGGCCGTAGCACTCTGAAAAGGTGCCACACCATTGAAGGGTGTAGGGTTGTGTGTTTAAGCTGCTCCTCTCTCAGCTGTTGCCCTTGAAACGCAGTTTGTTCTCATGAGATTACACATGTTCGGAACGTTTTGAGGCTTAACTTTTCAGTTGCCTCGGATGGTCACTACAGGTAAAAGGATATGCTAGATTCTTTGTAAAGCTCAATAAGGAATAATAAATATTTTAGGTGCTGGCCGGTTCTTTCCCCCCTCCTTACCAGA